AGCGGTGCTGACGTCGACTGAGAAAATTGTCAGGCGGTGGAAGGAATACTTCGAGGACCTCCTTAATCCCACTGACACGTCTTCCGAGGAGGAAGCAGAGTCTGGGGATGAGGGGAATGACCTGCCAATTACCGGGGGCGAGGTCACTGAGGCAGTTAACTCCTTGGTGGCAGAGCCCCTGGTGTTGATGAGGTCCGCCCCGAGTTCCTGAAGGCTCTGGACGTTGTAGGGCTGTCCTGGTTGACACGTCTCTACAATGTTGCGTGGAGATCAGGGGCAGTGCCCATGGACTGGCAGACCGGGGTGGTGGTCCACATCTTTAAGAAGGGAGACCGGAGGATGTGTTCCAACTACAGGGGGATCACACTCCTCAGCCTCCCTGGGAAAGTCTATGCCAGGGTGCTGGAGAGGAGAGTTCGTCCGCTAGTCGAACCTCGGATACAGGAGGAACAATGCGGTTTTCGTCCTGGTCGCGGAACACTAGACCAGCTCTTTATCCTCTCGAGGATACTTGAGGGTGCATGGGAGTTTGCCCAACCAGTCTACATGTGTTTTGTGGACTTGGAGAAGGCATTCGACCATGTTATTTTTTCCTGGTATTTATGGATCATTACTGAGCCATAAATATATATTCACATGTGAGAATACTACATAAAGTTTGAGAGTTGAAAAATAAAATTAACCTCTGTTAAAAGCTCAGTTTTAAATCCACAGTATCAGAATCTGAAGACTTTTTTTTCCCCCTTGTTCAGCACAATTTTCGTTCTACACTCTCTTTTGATCATCATTACCACAGGATACATCACAGTTTCAATAAATTGCAGCAACTTCATGTCTGTGGCATAGAGCTACATAAACAAGCACTGATATCCTGAATGTTTGATCTGTTAACATGAAGTTAAGGAGACATTTGATATGCTGTAACCTCTCCCAGATATGACCGACAAAAGTTTACATAAAATAGTTTTCTTCACTTTTCTATACATTATATTAGCTTTAAATGTAAAGAGAGAAAGCAGGATACGTGCACTAAGGCGTTTTCATTATTCCAAACAGGCTTCACACTTCCTGCTATATTTTGTCTTCACCTGCTCCTGTCTAATGTCTTCCACCTTAAATTGCCCAGTTAAAATTTGCATTAAACATAATCTTTTCTTTAAAAACTCACTGTGGGGGGGCAGAAATCCAAAGCTGTTCCTGCGACGTCTGGGAAAAGTGTCTTTCTGACACTGTTTGGTGACTGATGTTTGACTTGGCATGGCTTTAAACTCTCTCCTTCCTAGGATGGTGTTTCCTGATGAGCTCTTTCCACTGCCGGTCTTTCCTATCAGCACAATCCTGAGAGGCTCCGTGTTCTGCTTCTCTTCATCACCTGTAAACACATGATTTTCTTTAAATGT